AAAATAAATAAGCATACTTATAATTTACATTTAAGTTGCTTTAAAGTATTGTATAGCAAAGTATAGCATTTTAGCAAGGACATACTTGTTTCTCTAAGGAATGTAATTTTCATGCTTTCTCATCCGAACAAGAGTGAAGAAAACTTTCTTGGTTAATTTGAAAATGTGAAAAATTTCCTATTATAAAACTTGCACATCATTTTTCTTACACCTTTGTTATCATGCCTGCACACCACCCGGCGCACTTACCCCTTTCATGTTGGAGCAAAATTAATTATTTAAAGTGTCCTTCTTCTAAGTTGACACTGATTTTAACGCATTGTTCCCAAAGGATCTGACCCAAATGCTTTGACAATATACAATAGCACAGAAATGCTGAACAATAAATTGTTGCGCATTCACAGTCCTTTTTTAACACCTTCGTGCTCCTGAACAATTATTACTAAAACTGAAAGGAGTGCGGCAAGGAGCGGAGAAAAAAATAAGTAGTTCGAAAATTTATCAAGTTTAAAATAAGTGCAAACACAATTAAAAATATGCTTATATTATTTTAGAAGCAATGAACAGCAAACTCATTTATTTTATTTATAGTCCTTTTTAGTAGAGTGCTTCCTGAAATAATTTACAATTCATTTAAAATATTTAATTTGATTTAATAGATCTTTTCCTGTGGAAGGAAAGAAACAGTAATAACGATTTCTTTTTTAATTGAAGGTCTTAAGTGAATAGAAAACAGTTTATGGTATAAGAAAACCTTTTAAATTTTCCTTAATATAAGCAGCATTAAATAGGTTAGTTGCTTGGATCAAGTGGTGAGTCAATTCGTAAATCTAATTAGTGTTTTTGCACACTTTTGTTGCCACATCCTCCTTGCTAACAATTTGGTTAAACTTAATTCGTGCCGTTTAAGACATTTTAAGGACGTAAATATTAGTCTCAGCTAGCTCCCAGAGATCACTGCAGATTTACGCAGAGTAGCTGTTCACTGCCTTCAAAGACCAGAACACGCATAGAGGATGTGGAAGATAGTTTC